AAGAATCCAGCTGATAAGAAGTGAGGGCATATGCACAAGAATGCCCACACCTGCAGATAATACCCACTTGACCTGGCTTCAGTGGCTGGATGATCAGAACTCAACTAGAAAAAGAAAGAAGAGGGAAAAAAAAGAGTAATCTGATACAATTTGATAAAGTTGACCTACACCTATAGATGCAGTAGCTCAAAAGAGGGAATGAATCTTTACAGCAAGGATCATTCCCACTCTCTCCACACACAGAGTAAACAGGGATGGGCAACTTGAGCATTGGCTACCCAAAATGGGGAAACTACAAAGGCCAAGAAGAAGTGACTGGCTTATAAGCTTTCAAGAGGGAACCTAGATCCAGAGATCCAGAGGATATGGAGGAAGGTAGAATCTCCACGGACTATTATCCAATCTGTCTAGGCAGGACTGATGAAAGGGGATGGGGATGGCACTCTTGTGGCACAATAGTGAATAATTACTATCAGGACTGACTGTGAGGGTTGGAAATGAAAAGTAGACATTTTGTAGCAAATGGAGGGGAGTGTTTGACTTTGCAGTTCAGGAGTGGAGGTCCCTGGGACCATTAAGGGAGAAAAGCGGAATGCAGGACCCTACCCAGAGAAGCAGTGACACCAGAGATGGAGGCAGAGACGATGATGTGGAGAAATGGAACTACTGGGGACTTTAGACCCAGAGAGAGAGAGAGGGACTGTGTGCTGACGAACAGGGGGCAGGCTTGCAGGGTATACCCTTTGATTGGTTGATGATGCCTGGAGGGGATTTTAACCATGGCAATGAAATGATATACGTTAGGATGAATGTAAAGCTAATGTTCTCCATGTAAACTATCACATAATTCACAAAACATTAAAAAAAAAAAAAAAGTTTTGAAATCCCCTTGTACAAAGAAATACTACTTACTCAGCCAATAGGAAACATGAAATCTTGATACATGCTACAATAGGGATGGAGTTGGGAGACATAATGCTGAGTGAAGTAAGTCAATCACAAAAGGGCAAGTATTGTAGGACCTCACTTATTAAAAAAGGCATCTTAACCCAAACAGTGGTATACCTAGAACCAAAAATGTCTGCCTTGAACATTATGCTTTTTAAGGAACTATCTATAAGGAGCTCTGGTAGTGTAGTGGTTACGAATCGGGCTGTGAACCGCAAGGTCAGCAGTTCAAAACTACCAGCGGTTCCGCGGGAGAAAGAGGAGGCGTTCTGCTCCCGTAAAGATTACAGCCTCGGAAACCCTATGCAGGGTGGCTATGAGTTGGAACCGACTCCACGGCACTTAACAACAACAACATCTATCTGCTAGATAGGAACCTTTGGGGACAGTGATTTATGTTAATGAAAAAGCATTTCAACCACTGTGCCATCAAGCCCCAGAAGACGTGTCTAGTTGGCTGTGTCGCGATTCTCCACGGTTTGGCAGTTAAGTAATGTGGCTGTTAAGTGATGATTTCAAGTAGAGTGGCAAAGACAATTAGTGATGGTAAACTGCCAGCAGAAAGTATTCTGGGTGTAAGCAGATTGTCAGTTCCTAATGATAAAGCTCCAGGTAGAGCTTTTTCAATGCTGTACGCTGGTGGTCCATGAGTTCAGTTCGCTCAGGTTTCTGGGCTGGTACATACCAGTTCTTGTTCCATTTATGAGCAAACTCCACAAGCAACATGAGCTGGATGCCTATAAAGATGAAGCTTCCTATGGCTCCCACGAAGCGCCAGGCTGCAGAGAAGACAATCAAAGAAAAGGAGACGAGGTGACTGATTCATGCGTTTACCTCAAAACGCAGAAAATAACTATCGGCAATTTCTACTGAAAGCTAATTGTACATTAATGCATGTATGGCACACAACCATGAGTGGGTACTACAATTATATGCACTCTGAACAAAGAAAAACTAATGTAAATAATGTCAAATTACTACTGCTAACAAGGGCGTAGTTGGGATTTAGATATAGGCAGTCTGGTTTCAAACTTAGTCTGTACGCTACAACTCCCATATAGCTAACAGATGCAATAATTTATAAAATCCACAATGACCCACAATTTAAAATCAAGAACATCTACCACTTCACAACTCAAAGTTCAAATGTCATTAGATACCACCTATATCTGACAAAGACAAGGGCCTGGCTCTGTTTCTGGCTCTGGTATGGAAAGTTTGTGGCCTTGAATGAGCCACCACACATCCCTGGGTCATGGCTAGGCTACGAAAATAACTGAGCAGACTGGAGAACTTCTAGGCCTCTTCACATTATAAACATAGGATTCAAACAGATAAAAGTACCTCTGTGGGGAATATAAAACCAGTCAGTTTTTGGTCTTTTTTAGACAAAATTAAGACATAGTCTTTGATATGTTCTTTCTTTGCCACATCAATTGCAAGAATGAAAACCATTCTCAGCAACCAGACTGTCGACATTCCAGAGAATGCCAACATGCATCTGAAGGGATGCGCAGTTACTGTGATGGGTCCCAAAGGAACCATGTGGAGGCACTTTCCTCACATCAATGTAGAACTCAGAATCCTTGGATAGAAAAAGAAGAGGCTTCGCGTCAACAAATTGTGGGGAAATCGAAAGGAACTGGCTTTAGCCTGTAGTCATGTAGAATATGATCAAGGGTGTTACACTGAGCTTCTGTTACAAAATGAGGTCTGTGTATGCTCACTTCCCCACTGACATACTTCTCCAAGAGAGAAGGCCTCTTGCTAAAATCTGAAATTTCTTGGATAAAAACTACATCCATAGGGTTCAGGTGTTGTTCAGTATCTTAAACTCAGAAAGACGAATTCACTCTTGAAGGAAATGGCATTGAACTTATATAAAATTCAGCAAGCACAACAGATAAAAACAAGGATATTCGAAAATGTTTGGATGGTATCTATGTGTCTGAAAAAGGAACCATCCAACAGGCCAATGAGTAAGATATAAACACTGTCTAGCTATGGAAAATAGGCCAGATGATTCCAAAGACCTATTGGTGATGCTTTTGATGCAAAAAAATTTATCTAGCCACTGGGGGGAATTAAAAAAGAAAGATATAGTGTTTGGTGTTGTTTTGAAAGGGCTTTCAAAATAGAGGGCTCATTCTACAAAGTAACTGTGATGTTGTTGTTAAGTGCTGTGAAAATTACGACTTAGTGACCTTATATAGGATTTCTAAATTTTTCCTTAGAAACTAAGGAGAGACTAAGGAGCTCTGGTAGCACAGTGGTTATGAATTGGGCTGTGAACCACAAGGTCAGCAGTTCAAAACCACCAACTGTTCCGCAGGAGAAAGAGGAGGCTTTCTGCTCCCATAAAGATTTACAGCCTCGGAAACCCTGTACAGGGTCACTATGAGTCAGAACTGACTTGACGGCACTTAACAACAACAAGGAGAGACTAGTGGATGAGAACCACCAACCTTTCAGTTAGTAGTTCAGTGCTTATCCTCCAGTAACTGTGATAACTGGCACAAATAACATTCCTTCAGTAACTCATGACTGGGTACAAATACCACTATGACAAAGCACCCCTAATATCCAAAAGGCAAGGATCCTTTTGCTCCAAGACTGGATTCTTGCCATAAATTTCAACGAACAAATGTGTAACAGGAATATCCATTTCCCCTTGTGACTAAAGTTTAAAATTTTTAAAACAGTGGCCAAAAGGGATAAAATTTCCTTAGGAGTATGTGAAAAACCAATATGACTGGCTGAACCCTTGGCTATTCGAGGCAGCACGGCTTCCCTGCAAACTGACACAATGTGAGTATTCTCGGTGTCCTGATTTGGAAAGTGACACCATCTGAGTTGAACAATGCTTTAAACCACTATGTCCCCTACCCCATCCCCGCTCCTCCCAAAGCTCATATGACGAAGGACTTCCTACCTTCCTATTTCAGCTGCAATTAATTTTGGCAGGTTCCGTCAGTAAGAAATTTAATCCACTGTTACACAGATTTGCATAAAGTTTACAAACTGGAGGCTGCCTTCCTTATCCCTGTTAGAGCTGAGTGGCTGTACAGCTGGACAGAGCTGAGTTCTGTGGCACTGAGCTTTCTGGGCTAGGGTTAGAAATAGCAAGCTCTCGGGGGCCTCTTCTGACTTGGCTGATGAAGTCACCCTAACATGCCAAACTGGATTTCAAACAAATCTTAAGTGCCTCATTTTCCCTACAGGACAATAACCTTTATAATGATCATTTCAATCCTGTAGCCAGCAGAGTAATACAAGGTCCTCTAACACTCAGCCAGGAAGAAGATGGAAAGAGGGCAAGGGGAGAGAAGAGAGTGGGGTGCAAGAAAGAAGTGGAGAGGATAGATAAAGTGTAGGTAGCAGGCAAGGCAGGGATTTTCATTTGTTTGTTTTTAAAGCCACAAAATAACCAGTAATTCAAAATATCAAAGACACTCTGGATTCGCCTCTGAACAATTTTACAAAAGGGGTAAAAACAAAATTGTTGCTGTTAAGTGCCGCAGTTGGTCCCAACTCATAGCAACCCTATACAGGGTTTCCGAGGAACAACCGGTGGGTTTGAACTATCGACACTGTGGTTCGCAGTCCAGTGCTGATCTTATAGCACCACACCAGGAATAGTCCAAAACAAAATAGGTACAAAAAAAACACCCATTTATACCATTCAGAAGGAGTCCTGGTATAGTGCTGTGGGTTAATGCGCTGGACTGCAAAGATGGTTTGAACCACAAGGTTGGTGGTTCAAGCTCACCAGCTGCTCCTTGGGAACCCTTATACAGCATCACTGTGGATCAGAACCGACTTGTCAGCACTTCACAACAAAAACAACATACCATTCAGAAAGGTTTCCTGATCCGGGATGAAGAAAGCTCCTGAGCACATGGCTGCCAACAGCAGAAGTTTAAAGAACCAAAAGCTGGGGGAAGGGGGGGAGAGGAAATGTATTTAAATGATATTCATGGAAGCACAAAAGATCTCTTAGAAGGTAAGCATGTCCAACCAAGATTCCACCCACTGGTAATATTCTCTCCAAATCGAGGGGAAGTAATTAAGTGACTGAAGAATGCCTTTTCCCTTAATTAGACAGGCTTGGCATGGCCTCTCATTGTGCAAAAACACCATTTCTTTGCAGGACTGGGGAAAGGTCTTGTACAAGAGATAAAGCCCTTTGTCTCCACTGAAATCCTCATTGCTGTAGGTTGTGTTACAATGAGTATTGTACTAGCTCTTCGGACACTATGTGATGACATGTATAAGTTCCACCGTCCCTAAAATCAGGGGTAACAATTTCAACTAGATGAAGAGCTGTGAAAAGGGTCCAATGAGTAGAAGGGATGCCAGAATATAGCTCAGAATACAGCAGTACAAAGACCCAAGACTTACCCATTATGAATATGAGCTCGGCAGCCTTTGCTGTTGTTGATTTTGAGGGTCAGTAAGGAGAAAATAAAGAAGAAACACGCCATTCCAAAACAGACTCTGTAGACTGCTGAGTATCCTACCAGCTTCTCACAGTTGTCACCAGCTTTAAGGCCTTTGCAAATATCTTCAAAAAAGGGAATCTGTGAAAGAGAAAAAACCAGTCTTCTGTTAAAACAGACTAAAAGATGTGCTGCCATAGGGCATTTGTTCAACCTACAAGTCAAAATCCAGAAGTATAAATGCACCATGTATATAAAAAAACATCAAGGGTTAGGAAGAAATATGTATCCACCTCTTCATTTTCTCAGAATCTTTCTTTTAAAAAATGGTGTTCACAAAGTACCACTCACTCAGTCTTCATTAACTGCATTTTCAAAATACTTAAAATATCTTACACAATGACAACAGGTAGTACATGTCTATTAATGTCGAAATGGAAGGATTTCAAGTCCTGGTGTGGCGCTGTGGGTTAATGCCCTGGATTGCAGTTGGTTTGGATGGCAAAGCTGGCAGTTCAAGCTCACCAGCTGCTCCTCGTAAATCCTAATCAGGGTCGCTATGGGTAGGAATCAACTCAAAGACACTTAACAACAACATAGTTAACTGTAAAAACGTGTTTCTAAACTCAATGGCACTTAACCACATAACAAAACAAAACATGGTATCAACATCAGAGTTGAACGTTCTTCAGAACAGAAAATAAGTTGAAAAACACTTTTTGAAGTTACGTTGTAGCTATTACCCACCAAAACATGCATTGCAGGAAGGAGTTGAAAACAATACGTGAGGCAAAATGGAAATGTGATATTAATGAAGAAATACAGCTTCTCTTACAGAAAAGGCATTAAAGAATTAATAATGGCTGAAGTGCTGTGGGCTCAACATTGGGCTGCTAACTGCAAAGCTGGTAGCTCAAACCCACCAAACTGCTCAGAGGCTGTCTGCTCCCATAAAGATCTGCAAACTCCGAAACCTGAAAGGAGCGATTCCACTCTGTCTTCTAGGGTTCTCAGTGTCATAAGCAGCTCAACAGCAGGGGGTGGGAAGCTATTAACATTCCCATAAACAAAAGATACTTAATTAGAGCTCATCTCACTAAATGAGGATTCCCTTTTCTCTTCTCTTCCAAAAAAAGAGCTCCTATTTTTACATCTGAACTGTAAAACATGTTTTTCCAAACAAGTGCACTGGGGAAAAACACATTTTTTTGTGCACTTTAACTACTAGAGCTTGTATTTTCATGACTAGATGTGAAAGACCTAAGGAATATCAACTGTTTTATTTTATTCCATCCCTGCAACTGCAATTTATTTGTTAACAGGGTGACTCATAAAGAGATATGTTACTGTATTTGACTGGGCTACAAAGAAAACTATCATGCTTGGAGGACAGCCAAATAGAACATAGGATGTCAGTTAAATGTGAATTTCAGAGACAACAATAATTTTTTCCGACGTTGGTATTTAGCTCTCTACTGTAAGGCAAAGTCCTGTCAGGACACGCCAATTGTACCCCATACTAAGAAATTTAGCCCAAATCCTGCAGGCAAAAGGAAACATTTTCATTATTATTTGGGGCTGCAAAAATGGATAACACATTGGAAAGGTAACACATGTGAGTTAGTAGGGCCAGTGAGAAACCCTTGACTAAACAGTCCAGGTAGCAGATGAAGAAGGCAAACCAGTGGCAGAAAACAGATTCTATAGAGGTAGAAGTCTGGAGGAGAGCTCAAGTGAAGGGTAGGGGTGGATTCTTCCTTTTCGGGTGGAGGGGTAGAGAGATAGTGATAATGGCTTTTCTATTCAGATGCTGGAGTCTTGGTGTGGGGCTTCAGGATAATGAGCTGGGTTGATTGCAGGATCCACAGTTCAAACTCCCAAATCGCTCCTTGGAAACCCTATACCAGGGTTGCTATGAGTCAGAATTGACTCGACGGCGCTTAATAACAGCAACAACATCCATACCCTATCTTGAATGACTAGGACTGAGTTGATCAGAACTCTACCAGATGAAGAGAAGTGATGGCTGGTCTGATGTTTATTTAAGTTGTCTGGACTCCTGAGCTGTTTTTGCAGTCAGAGAGGACAGACAGAGGAAAGGCAAGTGCAGAGGAGTCGGAATTTTTCACTGTTTTAATTAGAGTGTGCAATCAGCACACTGAAAAGCTTCGCATGGTGAAGTAATGGGAAAGCACACACAAAATGAAAGTTTCAGAGATCCTTCGTGAAGGCTATAGTCACGAAGGAAAAACTATACTTGTTATGCTGTTTCATTTAGGTAAGATTCATTGCTCTATTAATATTCATTAAACACTTTTCCTTGCTTCTCTCATCAACTCTATCAGCAACCCCAGCTATCCTTAAATGACTTCCTGACACCCCACCCTAGCCAGCCTCTGCCCCCACTACCATATATGCCTATTGGCAACTCTTTCACCTCCTCCAGTCCACCTCTCACCTTCCTGCTCTTCTCCAAATCCCCACCCCAACCCACTGCTAGTTCCCTCTCTCCCTAAACTCCATTTCAAGGAGAATGTCAATATTCAGAAAAGGTCAACATAAAGAGATGTTACTATATTTGGTTGTGTTACTTGGATAGGTACCCAGTCAAATATAGTATTTGAATATACTATATCCTATCATACCACCAAATTCCATGTTTCTTCCTATCCATCTCAAATGGGCCTTTTAACTCATCAAAGGGTGAGTATGTGGCATCGCATGTTCCTCCAAAATAAAAGTAAGACAACAACCCCTGCTCCAAATGCTAACCAAGATATCCTTTATGCTCTGTGGGTGACTGGGCACATTTAGCCTCCAGTAAGTGGGGAATATTTTTAGGCAAAAAAACCACCTCCAACTGAACAAGTTAGCAGGGGAAATTTGTTCTGATTAAATATTTGCTGTTCCAGAACTGCAAATTCTCATAGACTCTAGACTTTTTGGAGCCATGGAGAATGGATGAACCCCTAAAACTACTGCCCTGAGATTTTTATCATCTTTAAACCTTGAACCAAAAATATCCCCTGAAGTTATCTTGAAACCAAGTAATAATTTAGCTTAACTAGTAACAAAAAGTTCATCCTTAAGTACTAGACTCTATTAAGAACTATCTTTATGGGACCAACTTGACAACAGCAACTAGAAAGATTAGGTAGGAACTTGAAGGGGTCCCCAGATTTGAGTTGATGTTAACAAAGAGGAACTGCTCAGAAAAGGGAGGTAAGAATGTCTGTACAATTCAAAAGACTGTGTAATCTTGTCATTAAATTGTACATGTAGAAACCATTGAATCGGTGTATGCTTTGCTCTGTATAGTTTCAACAACAAAATAAAATTTGGAGAAATGGGAAAAAAAATAAAGATTTGCTGTTCCCAGCTTCATCTCAGTTTTGTATATATATATCTATATATATATATACATCGTACACAGATTCCACACCACAGGGTGAGGGGAAGTGCCTGCTAAGGGCATTGCCTCTGAGTTTGGCTCTGGGCATCCAAGGGCATGTGTGTAAGCCAAGTTTGCACACTGAGCCTGTGTTGGACTTTCAGTCCTAACGCCACCACTACAGATGTGACCTTGGGCAAGCTACAGACCGTCTCTGAAGAGAGTTCACTTCCACTCTCACCCATAGGGCTGGCTCGCCATGAGTTGGAATCAACAACTGGTGGTTATCTAGCACATACAGGCCTAGCATTGCAGTAAAGTGAGTTATTTAATACGGCTCTTCTAGCCACACTGTTGTTGTTGTTGTTAAGTGTCTAGGGTTCCAACCCATAGCGACCCTGTATAGGGGCTCCAGGGGATGACTGGTGAGCCACAGTTTTTGTAACTTTCAGTAAATGACCTTTTTCATGATGGATCTGGGTAAGAGAAGGTGGGAAAAGATGCTGGAAGGATTATATAATTCAGTTGTGAGTGATTATTAACAGGGTTAATTGTGATTGTAAAAAAAAGACTTGGAAATCTAATAAGGAGACTGGTTAATTTTGCCATCTCAGCAGCAGGAGGGATCCCTCTACCATCCAGGAAAAAGACTTAGGACCTATTTACGGGCCCCCGAAAGGGAGGAGGCACTCTGAAGTCAAAACGGAAGCTGAACTGGAGCTGACTGGATCTAACTTGGGCCCAGAAATAGACCTTAGTACCTTGTGCTGACTGACTCAAGCCCTGAGCTCAGTGACACCCAGTTGACCTGGCAGAGACCCATAGTGGGCACAGACTAGCGCCTAAGCTGCCCAGGGCCTTCCCTCAGGTCAGGCTCAGCAATCAGGTCAGGGTCAGCTCCTCAGGATCACTGCCTGACCCAACTGGAAGCAAAGCCTTCACTAGGGCCATAGTCCAGTGACTGTGGGAACCAGACTGGAACCTAGGAGGCTCCAAGCATACTAGACCAAGGCCAGCATCCGCCATCATTTGGGGGCAATCCTAGCCATGCCAGCATGGTGGTGAAGGCCCTATGTGCAGAGGTGCTCTTCTTCCACCTGCCGTCCTTCCTCCGGGGCACAGGTTGCCTGGCGGTCATTCCAGGCTACCTCTTTCCTCTAACTTCTGGATTTGTACCTTGGCTGCTCCATCATAAGCTGATGGAGCAGCACGTGTGGGCTGTACCCATCGGCCAGGCTACAGTGGTGGTGGCTGGGCATTTGCTAAAGCCCCTCTGCCCATCTCCTTAGTGCTGAACTGTCTGTAGGGCTGATGGGGGACTTTGCCTACCTCCTCACCTACATGGCTTCCTTCAGCTTGGTCTATCTGCTCACTGTCTGCATCCATGGTGCCCTGGGCTTCCTAGGTGGTGTTCTGGCGGTGCTCAAGCAAACCATGGGAGCCTGCATGGTGCTATGAGTGCTCCAGGTGTGTGTCAGGGTAGTGTGCAAGCTGCTGCGGCTGGCCACGCTGTCCCAGAGCCCGCCACTGGTCTCCTCTGGTTTGGGGATGCTCTCCAGCTTTTGCTACCTTCTTCCCAGAGAGCTTGCAGAGCCTGCGGTGGAATTGTTGGCAAACTTAGTGCACAGCTTCCAGGTGAAGATAAAGATATGACAGAAGACAGCACATTCAAGTCAGGATTTCTGTTTTCCTCTGATGTTCCCATAGCTGCTTTGGGCCAGGTATTTTCTACAGTAGCACTTGAGCAAGT